AAATATGGCTTTTACAGCCTCTCAGCAAGGGGTATTAGAATATCAGCAAATGAAAATGAAGAGGGGGGCTGTTGGAGTGGTTCTAAAAACAAAGTGAAGAAGAACATAGTTGATGGGCCGACACTGCTTGCTCGACCTTAAGACTTACTATTCAACTACAGTAATCAAGACAGTGTGATATTAGTAAAAGAAGAGACAAAGAGATCAGTGAAAACAATTTGACTTCTCTTACAAAGGTAACCTGTGCCCTTGAGATGGGCCTTCTTTTCTTTCTACCTAGAGCTGTGGCAGCCATTTTGTGACCATGGGAGGGGTCAAGAAAATAGCAGATAACTGAAGATATCAGCTATCTCTCTCAGGCTTACTGTTACATGAGAAAAAGTAACCCTTTATATGTTTATTATTTTTTTTTAAAGATTTTATTTTATTTATTTGACAGAGAGAGACAGTGAGAGCAGGAACACAAGCAGGGGGAGTGGGAGAGGGAGAAGCAGGCTTCCCGCTGAGCAAGGAGCCCGATGTGGGACTCGATCCCAGGACCCTGGGATCATGACCTGAGCCGAAGGCAGACACTTAACGACTGAGCCACCCAGGCGCCCCCTTTATATGTTTAAGTAGAGTCTGAATTGGCTTGGGGGAGAGCTGTGTACCTCCTTCCTCACAGAGAGAGGAGTAGAAAAGCAAACACTCCAAACCTTTGAATTCCCTTCTGTGAATTTCCTTTCAAATTGTTGACATCTTGGGGTATTGGGAGAAAAGGTTTCTGGACCAGTTGTTATCTTTAATTAAGTCCTAGTTAGATGGTCTACCTCCTCTCTTTAGAATATGAAGGGAATATCTTTTGTCTTAGGGGCGCTAGCTGGAGTTCCAAGATAATAAGTCCCAATTAACATCTTGTTACACCAGAAAATAGGCAAAAGAGAGAGATTAGAAAATGAGGTCGATGAGGGAGGCTTGAAAGAAAATGCATGTAGCTAAAGCTAAGAACTCACAAAATGTAAGTGATCTGTGTAGATGGGTTGATTAAACCAAAACATTAGGAATGAGAACATAATATGCACCTGATTTTTGGGCACACCAAAGGAATCCTACCTAGAGATGCAGAACTGTGTCCAAATAACAGGGAATGAATGGTGAACAGGGTCTGTAAGTACAAATAGAGAGGGTTAATGCAGTTGCAGGTGGTCTCTGTCCAGTAACAATCACTGAGGCAAATTAATCCAATGTAAAGCTGCCCTTATAGGACAATTGACAATAAATACATATTTCATTGCTTGAGCCCAAAGCTATCTAGCTTTCATTCATAATGTATCTACATTACATATCTTCCAGGTCTATTTCTAAAGTCCCTGTCAATTAGTGGAATTGTATATGTTTCTGTGGACAGAATGTATATTCCAGGGACTGCTTCAATCACTGAATGTTTTTGGAATATTTGTAAATCTGTGTAAATCATGTTAGATGTAAAATCTGTAAAATGTAAAGACCTATTAGTATTTATTATCCACGTTCTTATGTTTTTGCATAAAAAAATTAGTAGTAAGTCTCCTTAGTCTGAAAAAAAGAAAAGCTAAAGAGAATATTTTTTTAAGATTTATTTATTTATTTGAGAGAGAGAGAGAGCACGCACACATGCAAGCAGGGGGAGAGGCAAAGGGAGAGGGAGAGAGAGAAAGAGAGAGAGAACCTCAGGCAGACTCCCCGCTGAGTGTGGCACTGACCAGGGGCTCAATCTCACGACCCTGAGATCATGACCTGAGCCAAAATCAAGAGTCCAACACTTAACTGACTGAACCACCCAGGTGCCCAAGAGAATATTTTTAATAACAGCACAACTTCTTATAGGCATTATGATTATCTAAGCAGGGAATAATTTCCCAAAGTGTTTTAAACATGGAAATCTATTTTTTTTCCCCTTCAAGCAGTTCATGGAACTGGAAATCCAGCATGGAGAGCTCTGTATAAATCTTTTCCTATCTCCACTACAGTCAGCTGGACTATCAGATTATTTATAATGTTCACTCAATAAATATGTTATCTCATCTTTCAAATGGAGGCCATCAAATCATAACAGGAAAGTCTTTCCCTCCATCTCCTTAGCTCTCTGTTAAGCTTAGCCAGCTAGTGGCAGCATATCAAATTGCATTCTCCATTTTATACCAAGGAGTTCACTTGGGAAACTCTCATCTTGGGAGACAGTGTATCATACCTGCTTGATAAATCTTAGCTATTAGTCTTCTCCTATGATACTCAGATCTCTTGGAAGGACCTTGGACGTTCTTTCCTACTGCTTTCTTAACTACTGAAGTTATATAGATTATACTAATTTTAGAGGCATAGTGGTTAAGATTGCAGGTGCTGAAGCCAGAGATCCTGAGTCAAATCCTGGCTCTGCCCCTTGCTACCTGAACTACCTTGGGAAAGTTTCTCTGTGCCTCAGTTTTCTCATTTCTAAAATGGTGAACATAATACTCTGGACCTCATGGGGTTTTGTGAGGATTAAATATATTAACGTTTGTAAAGAGCAGTGCCTAGCACATAGAAAGCCCTCAATAAATGTCAGTTATTATTCAGAATTTACTTAACCAGCACTATAAGGACTTTAATAATTTTCTCTTATCATGAATATGATTCAATTGGGACCTAATTTCATTAAAAAAGTACCTACCACATAAAAGCACTGTCAAATTGGTGATCTAGTATATTAACCTAAATAATGAACAAAATCATCTGTGTGCAATAGAAAAGGATGCTGAGGTGACAGACTTTAGTTAAAGTTCAGTGAAATTGTCTTCAGCATTCCAAGAAAAAATATAGGCATTTCTCCTTTATTTCCTCCCTTTTGGTTTGTGTTTTGTTTTTTATTTTATTTTATTTTTTAAAGATTTTATTTATTTGACAGAGATACAGCGAGAGAGGGAACACAAGCAGGGGGAGTGGGAGAGGGAGAAGCAGGCTTCCCGCGGAGCAGGGAGCCGGATGTGGGGCTCGATCCGCGGGATCATGACCTGAGCCTAAGGCAGACACTTAATGACTGAGCCACCCAGGCGCCCCATTGTTTTTTATTTTTATTTCCTTCTCTTTAGCATTGTACATTGTAATAGTAAGTGTGCCCAAATAGAAATAACAACAATGCTTCCCTTAATACATGAAGACAATGCTATTGCTTTGACAAAAGTCACATTCTTGAGTTTTCCTTGTCACATCTTCTCAGCTAGAAGCCATCTACATTGAAGTCTACCAGTTCAATTCAGAAAAGTCTTTGACAGGGCCTCCAATCCTGTAAATTCACCTAACTTTGAGGTGCCAAAGTGAAAAAAAAAAAAAAAAGCCAGAGCATACTCTAAAGAAGGGCTGAGAACATTCCCTACCAGACAGAGGTTAGGACAACTGGGCCAACAGTTGTTACACATTCATAACTAGGAGAGAGACTGGGGATAAAATTAGATATAGAGACACCGAGACTACCTAATTAGAAGTGGGTAATTGGCAAGTCTGGTCAGTCAAATTATAGCTGACACTAAGAAATCTAACCTGGGGATCAGATGAGGTTTAGTCATCTGGCATTAGCAGGAAATATCCAAACATATTACCAGAACAAAAATGTCAGGTGAAAAAAAAGTCAAGCCAATGAAGAAAGAAACACTTCAGTGACAAGGTATGGATGACTCGCTGTTGTAAAACCACTGAGGCTAACACTGGGCAGGAGCCACACAAGGATTTCTCCCAGGTGGGTGAAGAGTTGCATCAAAAAGGATTTGCTATCCTAAAGTCACCTCCTGAAAAAAAGCTCAAACCATGAAAGAAAAAATTGATGAATAGGATTACGTTAAAATTAAGAACTTCCAGTTATCAAAAGACACTATTAAAAGAACAAAAAGGCTAACATGAAGTGGAAGAAGATACTTGCTATGTGTATTTATCTCCAACAGAAAAATCTTACCCTGGGGCGCCTGGGTGGCTCAGTTGGTTAAACCGCTGCCTTCAGCTAAGGTCATGATCCCAGGGTCCTGGGATCGAGCCCCACATCGGGCTCCCTGCTCATGCAGGAAGCCTGCTTCTCCCTCTGCCTGCCGCTCCCCCTGCTTGTGCTCTCTCCCTCTCTCACTCTCGCTCTCTCTGTTTGTCAAATAAATAAATAAAATCTTTAAAAAAATAAATAAATAAATAAAAGAAAAATCTTACCCCCAAAATATAAAGAATTCATATAAATTAATAAGTAAAAGTCAATTAGCTTTTTCAATCCAAAACCGAGCAAAAACTCGAATAGATAATTCACAGAAGAGGATAACCAAATAACTAATAAATATGTGAAGAGGTGCTCAACTTCAATAGTCATCATGGAAATGCAAATTAAAACTGCTTATTAAAATTTTTTAAATTAAAAAAAGAGACAATACCAAGTGCGAATATACAATACCAGGTGAGAATATAAAGCCACTTGAACTCTCATGCACTGCTGGTGAGAGTCTAACATGATACAGCCACTTTGGAAAACTGGTAGTATCTGCTAATGGTGTAGATACCCTCAGACCTACAAATTCCATTCACAAATATACATAGCACCATTATTTATATATGTAATTGCTATATATATGTATATATCTATGTATATATATACACACACGCATACATACATATATATATGCACACACAATATTCTGTACAGCAATGAAAATGAATGAAATACTGCTACTTGCAACAACACCAGTGAATCCTGAATCTCAAACACAATGTTGAGAGAAAGAAGCCAGGGATTAAAAAATATAAATATTCTGCATGATTCCATTAAAATAGAGTTCAAAAACAGGCAAAACTACTCTGTGGAGTTAAAAGTCAGGATGAGTGCTTGTTCTTGAAGGCAGGAGAAGGGAGCTTCTGGAATTTTGGTTCTTTATTATGATGTTACTGTGTTCAGTTTATTGAAAATAGTTACACTTCTAAAATTTGTGCACTTTTGATGTGTATTTTATACTTCAAAAAAAATTTTTTTTTTTTTTTTAGTCTCGAAAGTCATTTAATTCTTGGCAATATACAATAACTGGTATGCATTCTGGTATTTAAGTCATGAATTGTTGAGAACAAGAAGCAGTGTATTATAGTAACAGGGTCTGTGTCTGACAATTACAGTGTTGAACAAATCTTTTCTATGAACTCTGTGATTTGTTTTGCAGTTGGTCACTTGTAGTAGATCCTTGATCTGACTCTTCCATGTTCATGCTTTCTTTGGCTGCAGTCTCTAACATTTCTTCATCTTCCTCATCATCATGTAGGTCTTTTGAAATTAATTGTCTAGCTAATTTAATATTCAGTCCTTCATTGTAGTGAAGCTTCCTTTTCATTTCAAACTGTCGCTTTTTTTCTTGTTCTTCAGGTGAGAGGTCAGTATCCTCGTCTTCACTGCTTGCTTGTTCAAGAACCCGATACTTTGGCTCTGAGCCTTCAGCAGCAGCTAATTTCTTAGCTAAGATATCTGGGGTCAGGGCTTCAGTGGTTTCTGAATCACTCAATGCATCTTCATCATCACCTACCATACTATGGTAAGGAGTGGTAGGTTCATCCATTTTCATTAAACCATAGTCTTTGTCTGCTGGACATATGTCGCCAGGATGTTCATTTCAACCCACTTCTGGGATTTTTTACTCAGCTCTTCGTCGACACTCCTGCCGCGCTGCTCGGCCGAGGCCACCACAGAGGAAGTCGTAGAATTCTTGTTCTTCAGGATCCCCTTGATGGGCCGATGCGAGGCCGTCGAGGCCGCCATTGCCCGCCGCTCCGGCGGTCGGCTCAGCGTCGCTGCTTGGCGCTGGGTCCAGGAGGGAAAGGGCTGTGCGCGAGCACAGACTCGCCAGGCAGCCGCTGAGCCCGCCTGGGGCTAAAGCGGCCGCACCTGCTGTCGCGGTCTGAGTCGTTCTCACGACACAACGACCCCGACGCCACGGCCGACGCCGCGCGGCTGGCGGCTCTTCACGCGCCCTCCGCCATCGACACTTAACCGCGGCCCGCGGACAGAAGCCGGCCTACTGCCCCAGCGCGGAAGCGACGCCGACGCCTCAAAAAAATTTTTTCAAGTAAAGAGGAGTAATGGCATTTTCTAACAAACTTACTAGGAAGCTTGGGGCTTGGCACGCAGTCTGGCCCTGACTGGGTTTTCTGTCTCTCCAGGAAGAGCCCAGGCTCTGTGAGAGTAGCGTGATAAGCCAAGGCATAAAAGCCTATCTTAATTCAATCAAAGGCACTGTTACGTTATCAGCTCAGTCAGAGGTTTCTTCTGGAACTTTGAGAAAAAATAGCTGAGCTGCATGCAATTTTCTTAGTTCATACTCTCCTGAAATCTGTTTCCTAAAGAATTCCCTCCAGAGAAGATGAAATTAATAAACATCCTGGAGTTAATCTTCAGGTGCCAATAATCTTGGGCCTTAAGAATGGTTGGTTCTTTATATCATTTATCTTTTAAATATATATTCAGTGGCAGAGATGCTTAAAAAGTAGCAGGAGGGGATCAGACGCCAAGCCCACTGTGGGGCCCTTCAGTTGTATGCTTCTAGATGCTACAAGAGCTCTCTTCTCCTTCCTGAAAGGGAAGTAATTTCCCCTAAGTAGGGGTAAGATTCTTGTGTCATTGCTTGAACAAATGTATACTATGGGCGCCAGGCATACAAATTTTAGTGGGCACTTTGAACTCAGAGCTGGGTGACAGGGAGACCCGAAGTCAGGCTCAAATTTCATTAAGCATCTATTCTCTACCAGGCTGCTAGATCATGAGAGCCAGCGAGGGTAGGGATGAGAATACATCAACTCCCCTAAAGATTGCCATTCAGAAGAAGAATGGTGAATGGTTCAGTAGTTACATGCAAAATGACCACCAGCATCTCTGCCTACATTGGATTCTTGTGAGATATTTGTGAGAAATTCCAATAGGCTGGTTCATGCATCTAATCAACTTTATGGGTAGATGAAGAACACTTCCAGGCTCTTGGGAGCTTTGCTCTACTTGGCACACAGATAAATGAACAAAGATTGTATAGTATAATGAGTACTGTAACAGCAGGAAACACAACATACTATGAGAGCCCTTGGAAGATGAACTCCTAACCCAAACTCAAGAGGTTAAGAAAGTCTGGGAAATAGCCATTTAGTAAATGCACTCGAGTTATAACCCCATCTTGTACACCACAGTGTTTGCCTGCCATTTCTGGCTATGAAGCAGGGGATTTCCTTCAGGAGGCTCTTAGCCAATCTCATGGCAGCAAATTAGGCCACTGAATAGCAGATATTCTCCCAGATCTTAATTCACAGTGTGTCCTGCTTCTGACTAAAAGAAGAGACTTGGAACTTGACCAGGGCTCTGGTCTCCAAGTCTAGAATTTGTAACAGCTGTCTCATAGAAGCCCAAGTACAAGTCCATGAACTGATGTAACAATTTGTTTAAAGTAGAAAGATAGTTGTCCTGGAGGCAAATCAGCCATTATTCAATGGACTATTTTATAGAGCAATCAATTTCTCTTGCTCCTGTTTATATAGGCCAAGCACTCCACACACACACACACACACACACACACACTCACACGCACATATGCACACACACACACCAGCATCATATTCTCTAAGGCCCACTGCTGTCTATTGTTACCTCATGTGGCCCTTGTTCCATGACATATTCATCTACCAAAAACTAAGCTCAGAAAGCAGATAATCTTTTGTATCTTTCACAAGGATTTCCACTATTCTCAGGGCAATTGCAGCATTTACTGGATGGGGATTGGAAATTGGGAAAATAGCCAGAGTGAAACTGAAAACTTGCTGCCAACTTCTGCAATACCTAAAACATATGACATCTTCCCACTACCTTCCCACAAAGTCCAAAGACTAGCCACTACTTGGATCAGAGAACTGGCGCAGAGTGGCAGGAAAGAACAATGGGGGGAAAACCAGTGTCACATACCAGTCCAGAGAACTGGGTCTTTATGAATAATTAAAGAGTCACAGGGATGGTTCTCTGTATCTTTATAAGAAGTCCCAATACACCAAATCACTAGATCTAATAACCATTTGTCTTTCCTATTTAAAAAAAGAAAACAACAATTTACTGAGGTATGATTGACATACAAAAAGTTATACATATTTAACACACACAACTTGATGAGTTTGGAGATAAGTATACTTCCATGAAATGATCACTATAAGCTATGCCATTGGCATAGCCATCACCTCCAAAAGTTTCCTCCCATCCTCTTTATTTATTATTTTGTGTTTTTGTGTAATAAGATCTACCCTCTTAGCAAAATTTTAAGTATATAATACAATATTGTTAACTATAGGCTCTAAACTTCAGTAGGTCTCTAGGACTTATTCATCTTGTATAAGTGAAATTTTGTCCTCTTTGACTTAACACCTTCCTATTTCCCCCTCCCTCCAACCCCTGGCAACCACCATTCTACACTCTGCTTCTATCTAACTATTTTAGCTTCCTTATGTAAGCAATGTCATATGGTATCTGTCTTCTGTACCTGGTTTGTTTCAATTAGCATAATGTCTTCAAGGGTCATCCATGTTGTTGCAAATGGCAGGATTTTTTCTTTTTTAAGGCTGAATAATATTCCATTGTACATACATACCCACATTTTCTTTACCCAAGTTTTTAGCCATATTTCTTTAAATAATCTTTCTGCCCCTTTCCCTTGCTTTTCCTTCTGACATTTCCACAAAGCATATATTCATTTTCTTAAAGATATACCATAAATCCCATAGGCTTTCTTCACTCTTTTCTATTCTTTTTTTCTTTTTGTTCCTCCAACTGGATAATTTCAAATGACATGTCCTTGAGTGTGCTGATTCTTTCTTCTGCTTGATTGAGTCTGCTGTCGAAGCTCTCTATTGAAATTTTCAGTTCAGTCTTCGTATTCTTCTTCAGGTCTAGAATTTCTGTTTGGTTCTTTTTAATGTTTTCTATCTCTTTGTTAAATTTTTCATTTTGTTCATGTATTGTTTTCCAGACTTTATTTATTGTTTATCTGTGTTCTCTTGTGCTCACTGGGATTCTTTAAGATGATTATTTTGAATTCTTTGTCGAGCAATTCATAGATCTCCATTTCTTTGAAGTCAGTTACTGAAGCTTTATTTTGTTCCTTTGGTGGTATTTATTTCCCTGTCTTCATGATCCTTGTACCTTGTATTGGTGTTTGCACATTTAAAAAAGCAGTCACCTTTTCCAATCTTTACAGACTGGCTTTGTTAAGGAAAGCCTTCCACCAGTCAATCCAGCCAGAGATTCTGTGTGAGCTCGCTCCTGGAGTCCACAGGTGGGCCTTGGTCCCAGGGGGTCAAGGGCAGACTGCTACTGGGGTTTGCAGGCCAGCTGTTGAGAAATGTACATTGTTGGTGAAATCCCCTACCTCTTTTCTTTGTTCTTAACTGATCCCCAGTGATCTAGTCTTGCTGATTCTCTCAATGTTCTGAGTGAAGCATGACAGAAGGGGGGTTCACAAGTAACACACTGAAAGGCAGGAGAAGTTGAATGCTCACTTTGCTCTCTCTTTCCCTCGTAGAGGACTCACAAGCCAAGGGGATCCCTTTCAGCATTGCACTGTGCTGGCTTGAGGGAGTGGTGACATATATAAAGTGAAACTGTTCTTCTTACCCTTTCATTGCATCTTTTCTCATTTCTGTGCTCCACTGGGGTGCTGTAACCTCTCACCTGGATTCTAGAGCTCTAGTGATAATATTCTATTCCAGGATGGTTGTTTAATCAGTGTTTCTGTGCTAGGGATGATGGCTGGAACTTCCTATTCTGCTATCTTGCTGATGCTATTCCTCTGATCTTTTCTATTTGTTAGCTTTCTCTGACTCTAATCCCAGATGTAACAGTGGGTTTTGATTCTTATGTTGCATGTGCATTTGCCAATTTCCATTATGGTACCGTAAAAATTGATCCGAGGCAAAACACCCAAAGGTGTTTGGACTTTGTTTTGGATCCTGTCTATTCTAACTTGATATATATAACTCCTTTCCCATTCTCAGTTTTGTCTTTAGTATGCTTGCCTCAATAGTAGCATCCCTTAGAGACTGCACTCTACTGTATAACTGGGGTGGAAAGATCATTCACATGGTATTCTACATTCAAAGATTTGCTGGATTCTGGCTTTGGAAAATCCTGGGGTCTATACAACACATGGGGGAAAACACTGCCAGGATGAATTCAATCACATATTTTCTAGCATTACAATAATGTATATTAGTATATTCCATGAAATATCTAACTTTATACAATACAAGCATTTCTTACTCATCAGGTTTTTCTAATGTTAGCCATTTTTTTTAACCTTCTAGGCTTAAAGAAAATCTACATCACTACAGTTTTCTTAAAGAAGACATCTTTTTCACATGATATGTCCATGATATTTGATTCGAGTGAGGTCAAGGCAGTCAGTTTGGGAAAGTCCCAAGGCTTCAGCCCACATCCATTCTAACCCCCAGCCCTTAGTTCATTATAAGAATTTGACAAGAGAGAGTGCCTGGGTGGCTCAGTTGGTTAAGCGACTGCCTTCCGCTCAGGTCATGATCTTGGAGTCCCGGGATCGAGTCCCACATCGGGCTCCCTGCTCGGCAGGGAGTCTGCTTCTCACGCTGACCCTCTTCCCTCTCCTGCTCTCTATCTCTCATTCTCTCTCTCTCAAATAAATAAATAAAATCTTTAAAAAAAAAAAAAAGAATTTGACAAGTGAGTGTGCACTAAATAAGCACAAAAATCCAGTAGGGCATCATTGTAGTGGCAAAAGAAGGCCATTTGCAGCAAGATTATACAAAGATGAAGATGTTTAAATATTCACTGAATATTAAACTCAAGCAAAAGTCTGAGATTGGCTTATAATATTCAACCCTACAAGGAAATTAAAACTACTGGTGGAAACTCTTCAGACAAAAAACTATCTTAAACCAACTATAAGTTGAGTAAGAAAAACATTTTTGTGCTGAGAAATGGTTTATTTAAGCACATCTGAAATCTGCCACGTCTAACCCTCAGCCTTGCCACTCTCCACCCTAACCAGGGTCT